TCTATGACTTTTTTCTCAATAACAACAAATCCATGGAAATGAAAATAAAATCCCATCTCAATTTCGTCCCGATACCCCCTTCCACTGCCCGATTCAACCCGAAGCCTGAAAATCCAATTTTCAATCAAAACCTCGAAGCCATTCCCCACGAAACCCGTAAGCTGCAAAATACATCTCCCTGCAGCGATTAATTTTTGCACGACGACAACGAGCTTATTCGCGGATCCGCTATCGTTATACACATACATGTATATGTATATGTATATATATATATTTTTTTTTACATGTCTCGGGTCTTAAGCTCGTCGCAACAGATGTCAATCCTATGAGAACAATTGGAAAATTGAGCAGGAGTGAATTTATTAAATTAAATATAACACCCTAGTCAAATTTCATTCACGGGTTTTAAATCGATAATGCCTCGGGTNTATATTCAACAAAACCAAGCACGCGGCCGATCGCTAGGGATAATCCCTCCCTCACGATCTCCGTTAATGCGAAACTCGCGAGCACGGCTCGGCTCCATCGGAGCAAGGGGCGAAAGATTATATATATAGGATACCGATAAGTACAGGGCAAATGGGCTATTGGGATACTGCGGAGAGATTTTTGGATCCCAGCCCACGGTATCGTTGCTCGCAACAGAACTTCTCACTTGCCCTACAAAAGTTCGTACACAGAGTTTTCCGATATCTTTTAAGACGTGAGCATATATATGCCCCAATTTTAGGGGGTTTTTATTTTTTACAGGGTAAAGTTTATTTGTTAACATATGCTTGGTAATTACACCTACTTCATTTGTACAATTACAACTCAGGTCCTAGATAATAGGTATATCTACCCCATAAGCACATCTTATGTGAACTCGTGAATATTGAGGTATCGAGTTATGCCATGACTTCTGTATCCGAATAATGTATACCATGTGCAAAGGGGTAGAACTGTAGGAAACGAGAAAAAAACTTATGTTAATTTGTGTGAGAGTATTTATATTTCTATGGGCATCGGAGGAGTTTGAAATATTTTGTACCAACAACTTGGGTATTGGGTATTACAAACTTTAATGCTGGACTAAAAATTCGAAGAGGAATACTTATCGCGCGTGCAACAAAGAGATGGCTCTCTATTTTATGAACTATCGTTGCTACACCTATTGTCATCTGTTATACAAATTTTTACTACTTTGTTGAATCATCGTGCAAATCATTTCCAAAGCCAAGGAGATTAATTTTGAAATCCACGATTTTAGTGCAGCTCTAACACTCGTGAATAAATAGTTGGTAACGTAAACAGGAACCACGTGAACCAACTTAAATGCGCTTATCTAGCTATTTTAGTGATATTTCTCGTAACAATGTGCAAATTTCTGATGGACTATTGTTTCGGGACAATTGTTGGTACGTATATTCTGCTACTAATTGTACTCGTTGGTTAAAAAATTTATCCGATTACTTGAATCGTAGTGAAAATAGTTTACAATCATACCTAAAATTATTTAGATTTGAAATGGTTGAAGAAATATTTTTTTTGATAAGCAAATTGTTCTTTATTAAAATATTCCAAGGAAAAATCATCTTAGGTTTTCGGGATTGAAAGTTTTATCAACACAGATTTTTCCTACATCTAATAGAATGTATTAAAATATCTATAACTCTTGAAATTTTCTAAAGAACAAATTAAATTCTCGTTAATAAGTTTAATCCACTTGTGCTGTACAAGGCACTCGTGTATACCCAAGTCACTCCAAAAGAAAACTTTGAATGTCTCATTTAGTAATTTTGACGCAGTAAATGCCAGCAAGCACCCAATTCACGTACAAACATAAAAATATGAACGCTAATAAAAAGCTCAGGAGTGAATTTTCCCTCTGTACAGGTTGCGTCGCACCTCGCGTGAAATATAAATGCAGATATAACGTATGCAGAGCGTGTGAACTTTAAATTAAAAATAATAATAGGAAAAAAAAAATTTGGAGCGCACAAAATGGCCTCTGTGCGATTCCCTCTCATCGCCACGCTCGGCCCATTCCTCTCGCGGGTGCTAATAAAACTAAAACAGCTGCACGGCGGCGGTGGGAACGAAGAAAAAATCACGCTCGGTAGAGAGGAAAAACAATGGGGTAGAAGGGGACGAACGGAAATGAAAGGAAACGAACGACGGCGCAACGGGAATTTTAATATATTGGATCGACACTCTTCTCCTCTTTGGCACGATGAGGTGCGAAACTTGGGCTCAAAAGGAGCCTCCACCGCCACCGATAACACCCTGATTTGCATGAGGCACCTTATCCATCAGCCTTGTATATGTGTATATGCGTGTCCGTGCAAACTTTTCGCCGTCACTTTGTGGCAGCTCAGAGAGAGAGAGAGAGAGAGAGAGAATGGTTTCCTGCTTTCTCGTGTATACACTATACGACTTTTGGGCTCCTCGGCGCTCGACGTTTACGTATGTGCATATAAAATACGTGGAAGAAGCGGAACTCTTTCGGGCGGATGGACACTTTGTGCGAAAGAGGCCAAAGTGCCAATATATACACCGCGCGGAGCTTTTGTACTTATGTAGATAGCGCACGCCCCTTATATTCATGACTTTTGACGGTGGGTTGAAATTTATCTTCAGAGATACGCGAACACGATAAGGCTGCATGCTTCCTCTTTGACTATACGTTATTGTGTCATAAATAAGTGGTCAGAGGCCCCTTTGACGAGAAGGACTAGAGCTATGCTACTTAGACCCTTGAACCTTTTTTTTTTTTTTTTTTTTTCTTCATTCTCTATCGTTGCAAGATGTTGCATAAAAGAATGATTTACTTTGCTACTGACTCACAAGTGAAACCTTTTTTTTTTTTTTTTTTTTTCATCATCCCATGTTGACTCTGAGTGAGAGAGTCCCTCTTCAACGCAGATACTCACACACAGAGAGAAAAAGGTTTGAAAAAAGTTGCCATACGATCGAGGACTGCGGTATGCAAGGGAACTCGTGGCCACCCTGCGTAAGTATAAGACCTGTCGTATTTTCCTTTCATCGTCTCATTTCGCGATCTCAAAGGCTCATACATGACTCTCGAGCACGTGACTTTGGCGTTGAGCATTTTTATTTGGCTATTCAAAATCTCGAGGGGAAAAGTCAAGTAAAAACGATAAGTAAGTGCTCGAGCTGTCCGGGATACTCCGGAGGACTTTTATCTCGAGTATCTACGCCAGACGTGGCACCGAATATCCACTCAACTGTACATTATATGCACCTTGCTCTACTTTATGTACAAAGCATTTCGTACATAATTTGTGTTCTGCTGAAACTTTCAATCATCGGATGAACTATACTTGTGATGCATGTGTATTTTTTAATCACCGCGTTCATTGGGGTTATTGGGAATTTCCGAAAGATGTAAGAGTAAGTAATTAATGTTTCGATCGTCTTAGTAAGTGTGATTAACCAAGGTAGAGGGTAAAATATTTATGGAAGTAGTTAAAAATAGAAAAAAATTTACATAAATCTTTCAAACGGCCCTGTACTAGCTTTAATGAGTTTTCTTTTGAGGAAATGAGCTTCCTTTGGCTTTTTTCTTGGGATAATATAACCCTGACTTGGAAAGTTGGATCTCAGCGTTTTACTGTTCCGATTTCTTTGATAGTTTTCTTTAAAAGATAGGCAATGTATACTTTGCGCCTTGAACTCACATCGACGTTTCCAACCCATAGAATCGCTCATTTTTCATATTGAGCACAAAGTCAGTTCTCACTTGCCTAACGTTTCGGTAGAATCATTTATTTAAGAGGCACATAGTATTTCCATTTTTTTTTAACATAACTGATGTTTATTAGCTTACAGTATACATGTCTGCTATGTAAACAAAATAAATTCAGTTTCGGCGATCAAATAATATTTATTCATCGGCTTTGATTATCATTGTCGTCAGATGTGATTGTTTACGGTGGGACATAATAATACGTGCATTGTTATTGTTATAACTGTCGTCGTAATTATTGTGGTTATCATGATAGGTAATTTTCACATGAAAGAAAGGATTACAAATATTCATTGTTTTCGGGTCCACTCGCGCGAGAATTTTGAATAATGAAAATCAGGTAGATTCGTCACGGGCTTTTATTTTATTTATTTCATTTATTTCATTCGTAAAGTTTAATTAAAAATAAAAGTGTAGTTTATTCGATTCACTGAATTTTTCGTTATATTCATATAGATGTTATATATAAATTTCGAGTTTAACTTCACGGCAAGAGACGAAAATTGATCCAACCGAGTTCACATCGCTGCGTTTACTAATTGATGGATTTTAACAGTTCGTTTAATTCGAAAATTCATTTCATACATCCGATCGCTTCGACATCTTAAATCTAATTTCTCTTCTTTTTGTCGAAATGAATTTAATCTTCTTTCGCATCTTGATATTCCCGCGCAAATTATTATTTTTATTTTTTTTTTTTCATTACGTTCTCCCATAACTCTCATAACTGAGAAATGAGACATACTTTGATTCATATTTCCGTTGGTAATAAAATTTATTCATCATGTACTAAACTTGATACTTTCAGCAATATTAATGTGTGTAATTATACATTTACCATTAAAATCATTGTACAGGGATATTTTTTATGATTACACTCATGCATGTACACAGAAAATAATAATGAATAATTTAATGTAAATTACGTTTTTTTTAAAATTCTAAATAAGATCATCGAGAAATATTAAAGGGTGTAGTTGTATCAGGCGTTTAACGAGCGCCCACAGGATATTTAAATATGAATTTGGGTGAGCGCGAAAATCCTTGCACCATGAACTGAATCATTAAAGTAAAGCATGCACCTCCTCATTAGCCATACTCCAAACCCACATAGCAGAAAATAGTTAAAAAATTAGAACTTTTAAAAAAAAAAAGCTGTCACGTATTAGGCACGACTGCTTCATTTTTTGCCAGAGTGAGAATTAGTTACAAATAATGTCATTATTTTTTTTTTCAACTCTATTCTATTTCATTGATATCGAAAAAAGTGAATTTTCAATTTTACTCGAAACAATCATGTACATTTTTTTAGCCCTACAAATTTTGCATTCACAAGGTTGTCCTGAAATGTTCAATAATTTGAATGAAATGGTATCATTAAAAAAGTAGCAGTTGGGTGTAAACTTTTTGAGATCAATTGTATGTCTTTACTTGAATAAATAAATCTACACAGTGCATGCAAAACTCGAACAACCTTCTCTTTGGATGAAAAATTTTTTGTTCCGACTAAAAATTAATTCCACACAATAAAAAATTATTCACTTTGGTAAAAATACAGATTACCCATGTGCAACGATTACACCAGTAAAAACTGTAGAAAATGAGCCAAAAAAATTGTTGCAGGTGATTATTACGGAAGAAAAAAAATAATCAAGAAACAACTACCTGAAACGTGTCCTGATTGCTGAGGTCAAAGACGAGTACGTAGGCGGTGGCGCTGCGCAGGCCGTAGTAACGAAAGTCGGTCCATTCGAGGTGCGAATTGATCGGGAAGTAGGGTATCGTCGGCAAATCCGTGATCTTGAGCTCGTACATCCGCTCGGCCAACACGACGCTCGGGTAGTAAGTCTCGCGGCCCTCGGTTGGCCTGTACTCCTCCGAAAATTCGTTCCAAACAAATTGCTGTGCACATGCACAATATATTACTCGTATGAGCACATAATACAGAAAATGTATTTATACGTATAATAAAATTACGTTCACTCTCTTTTAGACAACACGAGCAGTACTACTCGCCTCGTACATTTTTCTTAATTAATGATGAATGTTGTGCGGATGTGATAAATTTTTTTTTTTTTCCTTTGAGAAAAAATTATTAAAGGTATTACTTCTTAATGATATCGCTCGTTGAGCGAATGGAACGAGAATATAGGCCACCGGATGATAGTAGGCATGGTTTTTTTTCTTATATCTTTTTTACTCTCAATCACGAGAATCTTTTTCAATTGTTCGGATGTTGATATTGCAGAGGAGATGATTTATGAAAGTGCAGAAAAAATCTGCGTACTCCTGGAAAATGAGGGCATACGCCGCAGTCTGTGTAATTTGCCGAGCTGTGTGGCTGACGCGTATTTTAGTATTAATGAAAAAAAAAACTTGTTTTTGCGTACGTACTTAGCCTAGTTTGCTCTTAGAAAAAAATAAATAAATAAATGTTTCCACACGTATTCCTATCCTCTTTCCACACCGCGGAATAACAGCTACATGCTTTTAGCGATGCTCCGGGTGTTATTTTGTTCCGAAAATAGTTCATAATTTTGATTTAGTAATCTTTATAATGGTGCAAACTATACGCGCAAAAAATAACAATGTCACGCTCGGTTTTTAATAAGTAAATTAATATTTTTTCTTGCCATAGAGCAGGTAATTTACATTTACACGCTCAAGTTAGTTGCAAGAGATTCTCATTTAAAATAATTCTTCGGAGCTGTAACGCCATGCAAAAAGAGAAGGAGTACAATTTCCTACAGAAGATAGCTTTGTAAGTGAAAACCACGTAATATATTTTTCTTCCTTTGCGTATACTTGCAGCTTTGAAATAAGCTCGTAAACAGATCGAACAAAATTATATACTTTACCGAACAGAGATGCTACGTAAATTGCGATTTCAATTTTCTCCCACTAGTATGTATTGTTAGAAAAAAAAAAAAGACATCAACAGTACAGGTTAAATATAAATAAATTTTCATTTTTTATAAAAACGCGTTCTCATTCCAGCTCTCGCTCCATTCCACGAGAGTTTTTAATCACTCAAAAATTAATCATCGCAAAAATTTTTCCAATCGACCTGTCTCCCCAAATGGGACACGTCATAAAGGGCACCTATCTCATCGCAGCCATCGGATTACATTGACGCGAGTTCGCTTAATGAACGTCACCGGTCTCCTTCATCAATTGTGACATTTGGAGCGGGAGGAGAGGGCTAAGCCACATTTTTCCTTTTCTATTTTTACAATGCAACCATATTCTATGCAAATTCTTATCAGCGATTAAACTACCTTTTTCTTGGAGCATAGATCTAGAGTAAAAGAGATAAGGAGAGAAGTGACTAAGAGTCCCTCTGCATGTCACCACGAAATAAATATTTATCAATCGAATAATCGAATTAGTAAATTGAGAATTTACAATTTTTCTATCTCACATAGCTGTAGCTCGTTACTTGGGTACGTGTGTATTAATCCTTAATAAATTTCATTTCCTTAATAAATTTCAACTAGTTTTTACTCGACGAGAAAAAAAAAAAAAAAAAAAACGTGCAAACGGCTTATACGTAGTCAGTAGTCGGCCGTCCGTGGAGCACCTTCAGTGCGGGATTACTTACAAAGTTTCCTCAAAATTGTCCAAGCGTACGTAAAAAGCCAGATTTTTTTAATGACGAATCATTCCTCGGACTCAAACGCTCACCTTCGACCGCACTTTTCAATACTCGTTTTCCCATTGTGAAAATTTCTTCTACGATGTGGAAAATAATAATTATAAAAGATTTTTCACAATCGGATTCTATGTGGTTACTAAAAAAACAGGTTTGCTTGTTGTCTCGATGTAAATTTTCCTACATAGTTGAAAACTTGTCTTCATGATAGCGAAAACTTTTGATCAACGTAATTTGTTTCCCCTTTTTATTCACGACTACACTCCAGAGTAGTTAATTATACTTTAGCCGGAGCCTTCACCACAAATTTGCGAACCGAGTTTGTAATCTAAAATTATTATTGCGATCCACGAGCACTTATAACTGGATGTTTGTAACTAAGTGCACGAAATCAAGTTTGCGGCTCGAGACTTGGATATCATTTTCATTAGACAGGGCTTCGACTTAACAGGCAACTTCGTCTTTGTACTGCATCTTGTTCTAACGTAGTACACAATTTTTTATTTTATTTTTTACTATCTTTAGTGGAGAAAGTACCACATGTACTTCTAAATTTATGTGTCAAATTTGCTGCTCGCAGTAGAGTATATATTTTTCACGTAAATGATATTTTTCCTGGAATTTTATCACAGTTATCATCTCATTTTTTTGGTCAAATCAAACCACACTTTTTTTTAAAAATTTCAAGCTCATTAAATGTTTATGCTAAACATTCAGAAAATGTTTGTTATTTTGTTCCATGAAGTAATTACTAATGATGATGGCTTCGACGGTCAGTACCTACCAAAGTTTCGCGGCTTTGTAATCAGCAGCAACGTGGTATTACGTTGTTAGCTTACAAAAAAGAGAAAATCCTAACTCTCTCCCTCTAATTATTCGTCGCTAATTGCTCGTGCGAGTTATAGTATGAGGAGACTTTTTGGTTTTCCCTCATCCCATCTTCTGCACTGATATTAAATTTCATCAATCTGTGCTTTTTCCCTTCTTTATTTTTGACGTAAAAAAAAAAAAAAAAAAAAAAATATTCACTCATAAAAAACGCCTTTTCAGAATGGTGTGCGCGCTGCATATATTCATTCATACTTTTACAGCGAACAAACGAAGCGAAATTTTTTCGGACACGCCTGCTGACTACTCGTGCAATGAAAGGGACCTACAGTGGTGTGTGCAGGTATATATACGTGCGTACGTTTGTATTTATAGACGAAAGCTAGAGGCGATACATTGACGTTTGGAAAATTCACGAATAAACAGTATCGCACACTGGTATACAACCTTTTTGCGCAATAGCTTTCACATCGACAAACTGGCCGGCTTTGAGGGTATTTTTATCAAAAGAATCGCTGAACAGACATTTAGGTAATCCTTTTTATGTATGCATGCACTAGACTAGAAGTAAATGCTGGCTTTTTTTATGCAAAAGGATTTGCTCGTGAAAGACTACACTAAAACTAGTATTGGTTGTTGTTTGCTTTTGCAAAAGCTCTCGTTTAATTAAATTTGATATTCACAAGTTTCAATTGGAAATCAAAAAATGTTTCATAAAATTTCTGTGCATGCATTTTATAGATCAAAGATTATGGAAATATTAACTGGTTCGTCGTTGTATAAGTGAAGTGTTGATCCTTTTTAATTTTTTATTCTTCACGTTATGAATAAATTACGAAAAAATAAACAGAACGTGAGGTATAATACACTTTTATTCATCGTTTTTCATTCGAATGTTTTTCATCAAAATGATAATTTACTCTGTTTATTTTTATCTTTAGCACATGCTTGATTTGACTCTTTGATGAATTTTGGTATTTTTTCGGGGATAGCAACAACAGAAGTAATATAAAGTTGTAATAATAATAAATCCTACATCATAAAATATCATGTAACAAATTGTACTCGCTCTTCTGCCAGTTTAAATATTCTTTTTTTACTTCAATCATTCATTAAAACCGGGCGCTGCTCACTCGTCCAATTAATTTTAATTATCTGTAGTCTAGCTACACTCGATATCTTCATCAAAACTCAATTTTTCAGCGAATCATTCATAAAATTGTTTTTGTTCTCTTCGCACGAACACATAACATTCAATATGTTTCTATACAATTCGATGAGACGTATTTTAACGTTTATTAAAACTCGGATGTTGTACTTTTAATATTTTCTGAAATTTTGTTATTAAAAATATCCAACGTTGTACTGCAGCCCTTTCACGTACCCTTAATAGCTTGATCAGACACAACGTTGATTTTAACACGATACGCCTCGCATTTCACTGAAATAAACACCACCTATAATGTTACAGCAATAATCAACTGGCAAGAACAGTATATGCTTGAAATAAAAGTTGAGCACACCTAATAAATATATATACATATATATATATACACATATATATACACACATATATATGCCTATCGCCCGTCGAAGTAACAATGAATTGAATAATCAAGTACTCAAAATCTATTCCGCAACACATCAAAATTCCAGTAGACATCGCACGAAAGCCAACTGTCTTGGTGCGAGGGAGTCCCTTCAATTGGAAATCTAGAGCACCACATTTCGGAATCAAGCACCGCACGTTGAAAGGCAATCGAGCAGCCCGACCCAAAGCCAACAATACCCGTGAGATAAGTTAAACAAGCCGGCGAGAGGGAAAGATAAAATGAAAAGGTCGCCTCCCTCTCTATCAGATCTAATAAAAATATCTCATTTCCTGATTCCGGGAAGGGGGGGGAGGTCGCAGCCATAGAAGGAGGAAAATGTGCAGAAGCTGCGAGCCCCTTTAACGCAAGGGTCGGATAGGGGGACGCTTCTATGGCGGTATATGTACGTAGCAAATGAAAGATAAGTAAAAGTCGAGAAAGGGCTTCGTGACACTTGTGTATATGAAATATTCCGCGAAAAAAAGGTGCTTTTGGGGCTTTTTTTTCCCTTGTACACCAACTTACCCGAATGATGCTGGTTTTGCCGACCCCGGATGCGCCGAGGAATATGACCTTGACGCGCTCGAGGGTGTCGGCTGGACTGTCCTCGTCTTTGCTCGCTGGGCCGCTCGCTGCCTCGGATTCGAGTCCGTCGTCGCCAACGCCACGCCGCTCCAAGTAATCGAGGTCTAGCTCTGCAACAAAAAAAAAAAAAAAAATCACATATCGGCTGTAGCTACGTACTAGTTGTATACAAAACTAAAACCAGCAAGTGAACCTTTGTCAGTGACAAAACTCATATCATCTCGTAAATTGATTTTCAAAATAAATCATCTGTGATGTGCTTTTGTAATTTATTTACAAGATGACCAACTCTACGGATACAATATTGATGTGACAATTGAAAAATACGAGATGGTGCGTTTTTGAAAATTAAAAATTAAATCGGTTTGTTTTTTTTTTTTTTCATTTAGCTGACTGTATGCGCCGAGTATGCAAATTACAGTCGGCACCGATAGTACGCCGTTACTGTAACTATAATTGGATGAACACTTGGCTCGCTCGCTCGCTTCGACTCCTAATCGGCACTCTGTTGTAGCTATATCGGTTAGGTATTACACTGGAAACGTTTTCGCTTTTCTCGCGCTACAAAGCTGAGGGGGAAAAAATTTTGCAACGCTATAGAGCTGATGGGGGCAAGTTGGGTCGTTGCAATAATAACACGATGGCGTCTGAAATTACACTCGAAGATGGCACTACCCTTTTATTATCATCTGTATGACAAAGTGCAAAGTGTAGGTTGCCAATAATAGGACTTTCTTGACGAAAATTTCGTTTATATGCACGGAAAAAGGCCATCAATGCCCTTGCACCAGTAAGTAGTACAGGTACGGTATAGGTCAGACAGTATTATTTTATTTAGTGCAAGATTGCATAAGAACCATCGAGTGCAAAAAGACTTATTGCGCATAATATCACGATGGACCATCTGCTCAACATTTGTCAAATATTGACGCTTGACGGAGCGTAAAGTAAACACTCTATGTTTACCTTTCAGTGGCCGTCCCCCTTCTACTTTAAATAGTCCGCATTGTTTGCGTATTCCGTCTACATAGCTAATAGTGCTTTTAGTGGATAAGAAAAAATCACTTTCGTGCTTATTCGAGGCTCGAGTGGGTGTATGGAAATCTAATATTTGTTCAATTTGCATGTACTGTCGGTGCTATCTTCTTGGTTTTTTATTTGTTTTTTCGCAAAAAAAAAAAAAAAAAAAAAAAAAAGTAAAATAAAAAAATACGACATAAAGAAACAAACAACCGTATGGTAGAGAAAATATGCAACCTCGTACTCAAATACTCCCTGGAAAAGAATAAATTGTACTATTTTTGTTTTTAGGAGCATTTCATTAACTCTTACGGAGTAATTCATTAATAGCGTTATTTCAAATGGTTTCCTGTAAAATTACGCATCAAAATGATATTTTACGTCAGTTTTGTTCTCTAAGGACTTGCCCGAAGCAAATCGAAGCGCGATTGATTTTTGTATCTTGTAAAATAAACAAAGCGAAATCCGTGGGGAAAAACATTTTCGCGGTAAACTTTTTTTTTTTTTTTCTATAAAAGTCGCACCTCTGAACACGAACTTTTTCACGGTTGGGATGATAGTAACAGAGTATAAAAACCTCATTAGCTCAGAAATGTCTGTTTATGAGGAATTAATTCTTCAGAATCGTAGAAATTTAAATTTTCAATACGACTCGTTTGTTATCGGTGGCTCGTAATCAACGCAGCGCCCGTTCGAGCGCCTGGCGTTGCGTTTGCTACGGAAATTTAATTAATTGTACAAATCGTCCTTCCAATTGGCATTTAAACTGTACGGTAGCAAAATTAAATTGTTGCGTCACGCTTTCGCTCAACTGTGATACTTGGGAAGACTTTAATGAGTACAGTTCTCCACGAGGAGAAATTCATTTGAAATTCAATCAGGTTTTTACAGTTTGGGTGAAAATGTTTCAACGAACATTGAAACTCTTTGAATATACTTTAAAAACATCCTCGTTAAAAGGAAAAGCACGGAATAATACAATAAATGACCACCAAAGATATGTACGTTCATTGCATTTGCGTGTGTATGAAAATGGATGATATAACTTTCAAAAGTCGACTTTTATGATGGCAAGACATTCATCACTCATCTTCTTTTATTCATTCGCGAAGAAAAGAGAACAAAGAATGAATAATACACCATTAAAATTCTTTATTCGCGATTTCTATGAGATTTTTTTTTGTACTAATGCCATTTGGTCCATTGAGGGAGGGCTGTTTTTCAAAAGTAGTTCTGAAAATTCAATCTTTTGAACCTCCAAAGAATTTTTCCCGATTGATGTTATTAAAAATTTTTTCTTGCATAAAGTTATTAAAATCTTTCAACAAAAAAAAAAAAAATAAATAAATAAATAAAAAAAAATTAAATTAAACGAAAGAGCAGTAGAAAACAAAGTGGTCTTTCATTAGTTAGGAGAAAAATAATAAAAGTCTTTGTAGCCGACGATGTATGAAGATACCGCGGTTCAACATGTTTTAATTTTGAAGCACTTTCTTTTGTGACGACGTTTCTCTGTGCGAGCGCGTAAAAAGCCAAACAAAATTAGAAAAAGGTCTCCTTTCTGTGAATCATTCACCTGGCCGATTTTATTTCTCTCAAGAGTTGAAATGTTTTCGTTAAACTTATTAATTACTAAAATTTTAATTACAAAAAACAAAAACACCAGAATTTAAATAAGCCGCGCACTGGTGAGGCCTGATCGGATATCCCAAGAAGGTGAATCTTCGGTATCCTTTGGAGCTCGTAATTACTTGCTCATGAATATTAGTAGTGTGCTTGGATCATCGAACGTGATACCCTAGCTTCGCTTGCACTACCACCCCTCGGGCGCTTCCACTTTAATTAGCGCTGTACCCATGTACACAACCACCCGAGAGCTAAAATGAAAATAATCGAGGCAGTCGGGAAATGAAAGAAAAAGCTGAAGAATTATCATCAAAGTAGATACACGCATTAGTCGGAACATTTAGTATGTAAGTGAAACATTGTGGATCGAAGCATTCCATTAATACGTGCGTCTGACCCTACGTAGGCTTGTACTACTACTTAAGTTGGAAAACGCTCGGTAAAAGTTGTTGCGATGCTTATATCATCATGTGACACACGGTTCTTGCTCTATTTATCTTATCTTGGTCGCATCAGGCGTATGTGGACATCGGTTGCCATCGATTTTCCGAGTATACAATTTTTTCATGAGTCCTGGAAAATTAGATACTACGAGCTAATAATTAGATGTACCTACGTAAGCGCACATCATCGTAGTTATGTAAAAATTTCTAATGCTTCAAAATCAGCGAAGTTTTTTTTTCTCAACATCAACTTTAGAGTAAAACACGTTGAGATGCTTACATCTTGGAATAACGAGCATGGAAAACACCGAACGTGTCTCTTTTCTCGAATCCCGTAATAATGCAGGCAATCCTCCCCCTTTCTGTCGTTGCCTTTTCTTTTCCTAAGAAAATAATTGGCCTCACAAAAATGCCACCGCTTAGGGCGAAAGACAAGAGCTTAAAGGGGAACAAAAGCCGAGTTGACCTCGCAAAGGAAACCACCAAGCGAATCAACGCGAGGGGGATCGCTCGCACTTGAAATTTCAATGGTATAGTTCCGCGTAGAGTAGAGCGTGTTTACTCAAAGACAAAATGCGTACGTATATGCGGGGGGTACGGAGTGCAATTTGGTTACTCCAGTGTTGTAATTGAATTGCTGGATCTTGGTTTCACGTGGTATTGCGTACCCTGTAGCCGCAGGTGCTCGCGGAACGATCGAAAATTAATGCAACGCGGGAGGAAATTGTCAGAATCGGCTTGGTTGGAACTGAAGTGCGTGAAAATGCCGAAAGAACAGCGTTGTGATTTCACATCGGAAAATGTTCGCCAGTCCCGGGTGAGATTTATCAACGGGAATCCATTAATAACGTACATTATGGGAGCGGTAAATCACAACGCTGGATGTTACGCGTTTTCGCAAAGGGGGGGGGTGGGACGAAAAAGCTCACGGTCCGAGTGTATACGTACGTACGACGGTAATCCCGTAATTGATGCTTCGGTCGACGAGACACCGCGTGTGGAGCCATCAACAAAAACACGTCAGGATTCTAAGTGTATTCTTGAGGAAGAAGCAGGAAAAAAAGTGCCGCGTAATCGAAAGCTTAGCGCGGGGTTGATATATGTACAGAGGGGTGGTGGCGGGGAAGAAGGAGCAGATATAAAAAATGATTAGAGCGAAATTCGGGCTCCTGTTGCGCGACAAGAGATACGATACAATGAGAAATGCGAGGACGGGGTTGCCCGAGTTTTGAGGATCGGGTGCTCGTGCACGTGCTGCAGTTTAGCTTCGCAATTACACGTGAAGGGTAGCGAGGAAATTGCAACGGGCTTGCATGTATACAAGTACTCGATTCTAAGTGCCGATCCCGATAGAATTTCTACGAGTCACGTTCGAGTGTAAACATTTACTTGGGATACGTATATGGGCTAAATGACGCCGTACGCGCGTAAGGGTGTGCACGTTGATTATAGGCAAATATCAGGGACGAACCGGTTCCTCGTGCGATCGGGTTTTTAGTGAGGGGATACGAACACTTTAAAGTCACTTCGATATTCCAACCCAAAACTGTAAATAAAAAACACATCCACCATATTAATGGCAAATAAAAGTCAAGAGCTCGATGGAGAGAGAGGGTGAGGAAAAACTAGCGCGGAGGTTCCCAGCTATCTTTCACGCGCCCTGGAATCCCTGTAATTTCTCATTTGGCATTTTCCCTCTCGTCCTTCTCTTTATCTCCGTGTGCTCGAGCCTGCACATAATATTTGCCCGCGCGCACACTCACGTATGCACTCTTACATTTTCCCGTCTCCTCGTCGTCGTCGTTCCACCAGGGTGTCTCGCTCGTTTGGTTGTCGCACGGCGATGCGAGAGAGCAAAGGTACACGCTTCGGTTGAATTACAGAAATAGACGTTCAGAGAAGCGGGTGCTCGGAAGGACTGGTATTAGCCGGCTACTCGGTCTCTTTCCCTCTCCGTTTTTTTTCTTTCTCCGCTGCATGGGGAGAGGGAAAAAAAACTAACGAGGTTAACGCTGTGTCTTGCGATCGATACTTTAAATTATTCTGGTTTTGTGTAAGGGGGAAAAAAAAGTGGTGTCCGTACATGTGGGGAGTCAGCTTTTATTTCTCTCTTTTTATCTCTTTAGACTCGTACTCCTGCACATTTCCATTAGAAGTAGGAGCTCGATGTGTTTTCTCTCTATGGACGTGTTCATTTATAGTTCTAGCTAAATGTAGCCACCAATTGCTTTCCTTCCTGGGAGCACATTGTACAGTCACGTGAAACAGACCGAGAGCCAAACGCGGAATAGAATCAGTAAAGTAAAAAATTCATCTCTTTTTGGTGAAATCGAGTGTTAAAAGAGGGGTAGCCTATGTAAATTAGTAGCACGAAAATTGTATGAGGAAAAAATGTGTCGTATTTTCAATAAATTAAAACAAGCTGATACACTTGGTAGGATCAACCCCTTGGACACATCAACAAAAGTATACCCAAAAGAGTCCTGCTGGGGTTGAGGGTCGTCCAGCTGAGTGTAGCCGTAGTCGGTGTGTCGTTGCTACTGCCGCTACAGCTGCTCTTCTCGACGCTGCCGCCGGACTGCTCCTCGTCCATCCAGCGTCCATTCAATTGCTCATCGGCCCGGGCGATCAGCGACAACGCGAACAAGAGCAACGCTGAGTCGCTCGTAGTGTGGGCTGCTGTTTTTGTTGTTGTCGATAAGCCGCTCTCCAGCTCGCTCGTTTTTGTTGCTGTTTCGCTTCGTCGCTTCTCTTGTCTTCTAGCGTGCATCAGCTCGGTTTTTCGGGAGTAGATTTAGGCCCGACAATTGGAAATCCTTACGTATAAGCTCACACTCGCCCGAGGCTTTTTTCGGAGGGTTTTTCAACAAATGGCAACGGAGGCGCAGTGTTTGCAGAGAAACTGAGTAAAGTGCACCCTGGCTTCACGCAGTTATTCAGGTGGGTCTGTTTGTAGTTGCACCGAGTAGTTTCCCCGATTCTTATTCCAATATAAATATTGTACTCTTTTTTCTCACACCAAACAGCGTAGTGGAAGATTCACTGGTTTTATCGATAATCGAGATTTTCACTTTGGAACGAGTGGAACTGATTTTAATGCACTTCTTTCACCCCAATAATCACTGACACGTTGATTTCTCAGATAACCCTCACTTGATCGAACACTTTAATTTAGATTTTCACTCATTCACTACGAATCAGTAAAATTTTCCTTCAAGATATTAATTTTTTTTCTGTAAAAATTCACTAATTTTATTAATCATACACGCATGGAACACTGGAGTCTATACCTAAGTAAAAATCACGTTTCAAGACCTTATTCGAGATCAACAAGGTACAAGCCCAAGATTTGTCTTTATCTCTTTCGTATCTCTAATACACCCCGAATCCACGAATGAAACAAAAAAAAAAATTTGCAAATACACACTCACATATATCATCCCGGCAACTATCAAGCCGTAAATTCCAGTTGACAGCCAATTATTGGGAAAAGTTCCGCACATTACGGCGTCGGGCGCCCAGATAAGATATCGCTCGGTACCTCACGAACCTATTATGCTTATCGTTCTTAAACTCCACCGCGATCCCATTATTTGCCACTGTAACAATATACTCGAACAAAAATCAGCTTGAGCCCCAAGCTCTAAGTAAGAAAAAAAAAAAAAAACAAAAAAAACTTAACCGAGCAGTCGAAAAATCTAAAATTTTACCCAAAGTACCCCCGAATCAACCTGCCAAGCCAACTTGACGAGCTTTTTCCCCGCTCCAACGACTCAATCGCCTTAACGACACTTTAAACGTCGCTCTTCCTTCCCAACGATGAAACGCCCGTTTCGCAAGAGCACGTCCATCCGACCCGCACCAAAGTGATAATTCGCCCCGTCACTTAATTCGGTTCAAAACTTTTCCCCGGCAAGTTTCGAGAGACGGGCAAAGAGGGGAGGAAGACCCATGCAAAATAGAGGAAACGGAGGGCGTCCCCTTCAGCATCCCTACAAGTGGTAACTCACTGAATTGCGATTAGGTGACGCGTCACACACACAAAAAAAAAAAAAAAGATTAAAAAGCGTACACGTGCCCGACGACTCAAGTAGTACGAGTCAAGCTGCGTCCCGACACCGGCGTGCGCGCGCTCGAAACACCCCACGAACAAGTGCAGCGATCCTCCCGCCACCGTAGCCGCGACTCGACTGACTGACCCGCTGACTCCGCCAAAGCACGTCGGCCCCCTTCCACTGTCTTCGCAGTAGCGCACCCACCCCCTTTACCCCGCGAGAGCAAAGTGCAGCCCATGTCGGCAGAAGGATGTCGCATACATCTGAAAACATGTGCGCGCAACGTATACCCTCATAATGTAGATTATGCGCACAGCGACCCAAAGAAACGACGCGCCTCTCACTCCCCCGTATACATATATATTTACACCCGTATTCGATTTATGTACGAGCGTCTTTGACGCGTCTCCTGATGCTTTCATTTCTCCGTTTTTTCGAGTAATGCAAGTACTGTGTTGCTGCTTTACTCCTTACTATCTCTTTCTCTCTGTTGGCACAGTTGTTTCACGTGCATCTCTGGTACTTGGGAGCGCCATCCGGTCTCCCTTGGTTTTTCCACGGGTCAATAAACGCGAAGCGCAAGTATACGCGAGTACACGTACACCGATACGACACGTGCCAAGATGCACCAATGAGTCCCCGGCTCGCGAGTGGGCGTTAATTAACTGCTTGAGAATCTCTCTGTCGCCGTACTAACATGCATAGCTTGAGCTCCTAACGTTTCATAAAAATCATTTTTAGCAAAAAATTTAAAATCATTTTGCAACCGATATTACAATTGTATTGTCTTTTCGCCAATTGTTCTCTGTACTTTTGAACAATATTTCATCATCTTTGATTTTTCTTTTAACAAAGTGACTGAAAATTCATTCCTCGTGACTAGCTGTTTAGCTAACCGAGAAACCCCACTGTGAGTAATGCAAAGTTGGTACTACCGATTAGTCTGGATGGAATATTTCTGAAACCGTGCGTTCCCTTTAGAAATTTCACTTGAAATGTTTCGATAAGCTCACGTACGTTTCTCCAAGGACGTGATCTGCAGTTTTGTGACTTTCTTTCATCCGATCGGAGGGAGATTATCGCGGTATGCAATTATTCGTTGGCGCCAAAACTCAAACGGATGCTCCGAATGACTCGCTGCTCCGTTTGTTTTTCCGCAATTTTACGGCTTACGGGGATTCCGTTGAATTTAATTAAATTAACTTTGGTGGAAAAATACCTACTTTGAAGGCCTTTTTCGATGCACTTTGCAAAAGATGTGTCTGGACTCGTTTATGGATTCAAAGCGATCCTGCGAAATAGTCTATCTTAGTGTGACTTTGTAAAAAAAAAAAAAAAAAAAAAAAAATTAAGAGTCCCAGGGTAAAAACTACCCGAGTTGTCCAACTGAGGCAAAGTTTCTTGTAACGGAGCATCCAAAAGTGACACGCAAGCAAGTTCGGAGAGTCACCGGAAATGCAAATAATTCGTTTGTAACTTTCCGCGACAGAGATTTCTCTCGAGAAAGCCGGGGATGCAAAGGGAAAATCAAATCAGCAGTACTCCAAGAGAGAGACTACCATGTTTGTAAGATAAAAGGAAAAAAATTAACTTCTTCCGTGAGTTTTGTTTACTGGATGCGCTAAAAAAATGGAAAAAGTAATCTCTTTGAGAATTCTGTTGGAGCAAAGTGTTCGAGGTAGGTACTTATTTAACCTTTTTTTTCTTATTTTCTCCACGTTGGTAAATACAGTGAATTTCATTTCAAGTTAAATCCATTTAAAGATGCAAAAAAAAGATAAAATGTTAGACGTTTGCATTTATTTATATTGAAATTAAATTGAAAACACAACAAAGTCAGTTACAAAGCACGAAATGCTTTTGTGGTTATTGCGGCTGAAAGTAAGAAATCTGATTTAAGAAAAATATATTTGAGTTTGTTTTCCATCTTAAAACATTGATCTTATTCTATATAAAAGTGTTTGCCAACAAACCAAATCTTGAATACGATTATTGCATCAGAGTCACCGCTTGCGTTTGTTTGAATAAGATAACTACCTGTACGTGGAATGAAACCAAATTTATCGAGTTGTACGATCGTTTCTATTATGTACATGGATGAGGAATACACGGATCTAACTTTGATCATTTGAACAAAAACTTAAAATAAAGTTTCATCTACCGAAAGACTCCTGATAGTGGTAAAAATCAAAGTGTATACAAAACGATCGCGTTTAATAGAAGCGAAGAAAAAGAACTGACTATTATACGTGTAAAATAGAGCCTTTTCCAATCAATTTAAATCAATCAAAAACTTGCGTTGATGATGGGGCTTTTATTAGCTATCAGTTGTCAAGTCCTCGACTGATTGGAATCATTCTAAGTTATGTTAAAAACGTACAGTATAATTTGATTGGCTTTTCCAACTGCAGTTACATCGAGGACATGATTGGCTCGCTTTGAAAACTAACGAGCAAACAATTCCGTTTCAACTGATTGCTGGTACACGCGACTCTCATACTACCTTCTCTTGGAAAAGCGGTGAAAACTTTTTGTAATTCAAACAATCCGAGAGTCAACCCAACCTTGAGTGCAAAAGGTACCAACCCTTCTTTACCACCCAAGCACCCCAAAAATTCTCAGTTTACGAGTTGGTTAGTGAACAAAACAACACGCCCTATCCATGTGTCATTTAGTACATGCAAGCTATCGATGTTTATCGGAAAACTGGTTATTTTTCTTCGCCATACTATATATACGCATTCAAAGCTAATTTTTAGTTTTGAGGCGTAAAAAGAGAAAGTGTGTATGTGTGTGTGTGTGTGTCAAACAAGCATCATTGAAAAATACAGTAAAGACCCGTCGTTTTTTTTTCTTGTGGTAACTGTAATAGTATACACAAATGCGCTGCAGTACCAAACTGATACTTTAACTCGCGAGGGACTCCCCGTCCCGGGGCAGAGAGAGAAATTAAATTAGTCATTCGCGAGCTTTCTCCAAGAGCCGGGACTTTGTTAACTCTCTCCCTCTCTCAGTCCCGCAGTTGTACACCCCCCTTTCGCTTAGAAATTACTTCGCGTGTACGTGTACATACGACAGGGGGACGAAATTAATTTCAACCGGCGTGTCCACAACTCTGGAGCAAAGCGCGAAAATCGCGGGTGAAAAAATGTGGTCGCGCCTCCCCTCAAGGTGATGTCAAAAATCACGAGAAAGGGTCATTGGGGGTTGGGGCTCGAAATACCTACGGATCAAAGGATCCTTTACGACCAAAAGACGCACGAGATAGGGGGTCCATAAAGCCACGTACTGCCCCACTTTCCTCGTCTTCCGTAATCATAAGCCACCCAGCGTCGACGGTCAAATGGAAATGCCCTGTTCAACACCAAGGATAAAACAAACATCGTGGATGGAGGGAAAAAGAAAGTCAGTGCGAAAACTGCAATCAGGATCCCCGGGGTGCATCAGCTCCTTAGGAAATGAAGGCTTGGGACTGGCTTTAACCTCCTCCCTCGCGAAAGCTACCCGGTACATGTACACTTGGCTTACGTAGCAAGTAGGTTCGGGTGTGGATGAAAAGGCGCTCGAGTCGCGCACACATCGTCCAGCTACTGCTGCGGAAGCCCGTCGAAACCGAGAGCAGATGACCCTGGCCATTGTTCGCGAGTCTTTTGATGCAGCCAAACGACTCCTCCAACACGGGCTTCTCCTTTTAATCTTCTCCACCATCGTCGTC